GGTTGGTTAGGGTTAGGGTTGGTTGGGTTAGGGTAAACTGGGTTAAGGTTAGCTGGGTTAAGGTTGGTTAGGGTAAGGGTTGGTTGGGTTAGAGTTAGCTGGGTTAAGGTTAGTTGGGTGAGGGTTGGTTGGGTTAGGGTTTGCTGGGTTAAGGTTAGTTGGGTTAGGGTTGGTTGGGTTAGGGTTTACTGGGTTAAGGCTCTTGGGTTATGGTTGGCTGGGTTAGCGTTAGCTGGGTTAAGCTTGTTTGGGTTAGGATTAGCTGGGTACAGACTAGTTGGGTTAAGGTTAGTTGGGTAAACTTGGTTAAAGTTGCTTGGGTTAGGGTAAACTGGGTTAAGGTTGGTTGGGTTAGGATAAGCTGGGTTAAGGTTGGTTGGGTTAGGGTTAGCTAGGTTAAGGTTGGTTGGGTTAGGGTTTGCTGGGTTAAGGTTAGTTGGATTACGATTAGTTGGGTCAGCTTGGTTAGGGTTGTTTTGGTTAAGGTTAGCTGGGTTAAGGTGGTTGGGTTAGGGTTAGCTGGGTAAAGGTTAGTTGGGTTAGAGTTAGCTGGGTTAAGGTTAGCTGGGTTAGGGTTAGTTGTGTGTGATCCTACCTGTCAGAGATCGAGTGACGGCGCTCTCATACAGGGGAACTCCCTCTCCAGCGTTATTGAATGCCTTCAGGGAAATCACATAGTGCGAGCTGGGCTCTGAGTGGGAGATGGAGAGAATCATTTCAAATTATTTTAAGCATATACATAATTTTACATTTTCATGAGAAGATTCAACTCTTTCCACTTTTGAACCGAAGGTTTTTTTCTTCTGTTCATACACCAGACGCACATGAGGACGTGATGACTGTTTTTGTAACTCCGGTGCCACTGTTTTCTTTTAATTCCTTTTATTCCCTTTTATTGTAGTTATATTTGATGTAGTGTTAAATGGGGCATTTTTTGACTTTGCTGCCTGAGAGTGTTTAGTTTGAAAAGACATGAGGTGATGACGTCTGACCTATTGACCAGGCGCATGGTTTTCAAAGATCTGCCTCAAGCCAGTCAGATTTACCTTTAACCTTTAGGTTCAGCTTTTAACATTACTGAGATTAAAAGAAACATCTGGAGAATGATTGTTATGATGATGACTGTGGACACATGGTTGTCATGCCGTGGCTCATCCTGCCACCGCCTGTCACTGTCGATATGATGATGCTGCATCGTCTCTCCTTGTGGCATCAAACGCCTGCATTAGTTAAACAAAAATGCCTGCTCTATTCCCCAGACGTCTTGCCACATGAATTAATGATCACGTTGAATTATAAATGCCGTGTACATATGTGCACTCACTCCCATGTGTGTATGCAACACAATGACTGGATCGTACTTTTCATTAATCCTGTATCATGAAACTCGAGAGAGGAATTTTCATCTGCGAATAAAGATCCTCTGTTTGTTATTGTCTGCTTTGGCATTCGAACGACTCGTCACAGCCGCAGGAGACAATGTTTTCTTTTTCTCCAGCTCACAATTAAATTTCTACCTAGAGCAGTTCTTATTAAATTCTTTTAAATTATTGATTGTAATGAAATTGAGATTTTAATCATAACAAATTAATGGAACAGGGGATCACTGTGTCAATATTGGAACAATGTCGACAAAGGCATGCTGGGTAATTTTTTTTGACTAAGCAAGTATAAATGTGAGCAGCATCAGTGACAGCCTTCAAATAACATTATTCAGTATTTCTCCACCAGAATAAAATTTCAGTCAGTGTGAAGAAGAATTTAAAACTTTGTTAAAACAAAACCAAAAAAGAATTATTGAAAGTGGATTACACAGTCCAAGTGTCCCTGGACTGTGTAATCTGAATTCTTTTGGATTATTATTTCAGTCACCAGTTGCCGATTGTTTTTAAAGAACTACTTAATATAACGAAACCAGACAGAATATACAAAAAAGTTAAACAGCCACCAAGATAAATACAATCCAGATGACCATAAAACTGCAGCTTTTAAGGTGACCCGAGCTTGATGTTTTACATGGACAGTAATATTCACCCTGTTCTGAATAAAAAATTTCCTTCGTGGGGTTCTAAATAGAATATTCCATTAATAAAATGAGCTCTATATCTGTTATTTCACTTTATTTTTGAAAATGACCTAAAAGACGACTTTGTTTCAGCACAGTGTTGGTGTTAAGCTAAAATGAACCTGATCCAATGATCCACACTAGTTCATGACAATCGAGCTAACATAAATAGAGCAGCTCTGATGATATCTTTTTTTCATTTTGACTCATATAAAATACAAATGGGACATAAACATGGCTGCAGCTTTGTAGTCGGTAGAAGATGCAACCATAGCTAGAAGTTTCCCTTTGTTTCCTGTTTTTGTGCTAAACTAAAGAGACCTAGACCTGAGTCAGTATTAACGACACAGATGAAACTGATCCATCTCCTCGTCCTAATCTGGCTGCGTCCACTGGTTCTGTCCCCACCACTGTCCTTACCCAGGTTTTCGATGGAGTAATATCTCTGCTTGCTGTCCACCCGGACCGTCTCAGCGTAAGGACTTCCCACTCCGTAGCCGATAATGTAACCTCGGACCAGGATGTTGGGGCTGAGGGGTGGAGTCCAGGACATGATGATGCTGTTGGGCAGCGGCCTGACGTGCAAAGAGCTCGGCTGGTCGGGTACCTGACTCTCTGCAAGCACACGAGAGGTGAAACATTACACCTCAGAAAATAGCAGGGTGGATGTGGTTGGCCTCCACAACGGCCAGTGGTAAAGCTAACCCTGTTTGCAGTTTCAGTAACAGGCACTTACACTGAGCTGCCTTAGCTCACATATGCTAACCCTGTTAGCTGTGTCTTAAGTCCTATAAGGCCTGACACTTATTCCTCAGCCCCAGATTAGATCAGACTAGCTTGGTCTGGTTCCTCTGGGAGGGAAACGCTCCATATCACTTTATTGAGTGATAATCCATTGAAATGAGATTAAGGTCTCTGTGTGTCTTGGCCTGGAAATATGGTTAGCATGGATGTGTTTTTATCTCAGCAGCATCCTGCTGATCAGAGCGTCGTCCTTCGAGCTTCAGTGAGGTCATCTCCTGTAACAACGAGAAATGATCCAACGACCAAACTTGTTCATTGATGACGGTTTAATTTCTTCTTTCTGGAAACAAACTTTGTACTGTTGAGTTTTTGCATCGTATGTTATGTTGCACTATATTGTCACTTTGGCTCATTTTGTTTATGGAGAACATTTCATACATTGATTCAAGGTGTATGGGGACATTAAAAAACACAGAGACTACGTCAAAAGAAATAAATTCCAAATTAAAATGCACAATTCAAAACAATTGGTAGAAAAAACTAAATAAAAGAGCAGAAGAGGTCAAAATAAATTTTTACAAAAATTTAAAAGTAAAGGAGTAAATGGGACCCTAACCCTAACAAGATGAAATATAATGATATGGTAGACTGGGGGTCAGAGGTTTCTGGGTTCACTTCATATGAGGATGAATAACATTTTGTAATAATACATTGGTTAAAAATTGAACCATGTTATACCCAAATGATCCTGGTGCTTCTGTTACGATCTGATTATGTTCCCATGGTTTGTGCTTTGAATAGACTAAAATCTTTATCACCGGTGTCGGGCCCTCATCGCCAAAACATCTGGAATCTCCTCGTCTTCCCAAATTGACGTCTTCGTCTTCTACGTGTACGGCTCCTCTTCTTCATCCTGAGAGATTTGAGTTCTTCCAGTTTCACGTACGTCACGTGTAAGAAACCTCAGAGACACGCCCACTCGCTCACTGAGAAGGTTCCAAAAGTTTTTTACTGCTGTTTTCTCTCATGGACTCACTCTGACATCTTACAGATGTTTTACTAGAGGCTGCAGGAGAAGATCCAGAAAATGTCCAGAGGACAATCTAAAATAGATTTTAGACGGTAATCTATTGTTAGTCTTCTGTGATGATGAGTAGTAGTAGTTTCTTTCATCCTCTCCTCCTTTCAGTTTCTCTCCTCTTTGACTGCTCTCTTTTTACCGTCTCCTCTCTTTTCTCCCTCCCCCTCCTTCAATCCACCCTTCCTCTCCCCTCTCATCCCCTGAAGCAAATCTTCTGTGTGTACACACACACACACACACACACACACACACACACACACACACACACACACACACACTTACCATCCAGGTCGTTTTCTGGTGTCTCAGCAGTGAACCAGTCACTTGCTGGACCTGTTCCATTGGCCGTCATGGCTGCAACCTGGAAACTGTACTGACTCCCCTTCTCCAGACCTGAGAGAGACAGACAGACCGAAGAAAGAGAGAGAGTCAGATTGACAGACAGAGAGACAAAAAGAAAGAGGAAGACAGAGAAAATCCCTGCATCAGTTTATTTATCTGGATTATTGGCTCTTAAATTTTCTGGGTTCTTTTTTGAACAGTGCTTGCACTCATCCACTAAACTTCATGGAAATCAAATCAATACTTTCTTCTAAACAGTAGTGAAAATAAATATACGCATATTTAACTGAAACTGAAGATGCTCAGTACAGATATAACAAAGTGAAGTTAACATGAAGAAACAATAGCTGTGTGATTATTGCATGCGCTTGCATGCACTCACACACACGCGCACACACACACACACACACACACACACACACACACACACACACACACACACACACACTGTCCACTTAAACACCCCAGACTAATAATAACGTTTAAAACTACTGTTCTCCATATTTGTATCAATCTTTTCCAATTTGTTAATCTTTTGGACAAAAAACAAGCTCCAGTTTTACTGAATTAATCTGGATGATAAAATGGTGTCAAATGTCTGCTTGTTTAATCAGCTTCTGACCTTTTGTTTGAGTAATGCTCAATAAAAATTGCAGCGCTCAGCAGTTTTAAGACTTAAGTAAAAAAAAAGAACAAACTTTAAAGATGTGAAACAACACAAAATTAAATTTGATGCCGCTTCTCACCTGTGAACAGGTACCAGAAGTTGTTGGGTTCGATGGCCTCTTGGTCGCCACGCCGACCAGTCTTCCTGTATTTGATCCTGTAGGCGGTGATGATGCCGTTCTGGGCACTGCGCAGAGGCGGCTGCCATGACACCTTGATGCTCTGAAAACATTAAAGACAGAAACTAAAGACTGAAGAGACTGTGTGTGTCAATTTGTTGTTTTCTGTCTTCCTCATCGTTGTGTGTGTTTGTTGTTTACTCAGACTCACTTATTCCCACCATCATAGAATGTTCGGGGATGATAACAATGAGTGTGTTTTATTTGATGCAGCTTGATCAGGTTGATAAAGGACTGTTGGTAGAGGAATGAGCTCTACTGAGTAAAGGTCAGGTTATGTGAACAGTTGTTTCATCTTTATTTTGATAGAGGGACTAATTCATTCATACAAATGTGTCACTAAATTTGTAAAGTTTTTATTTTTGTCTACATGAAATAATTTTGTCAGAAATTTTACGAGAATTGTACAAAACTGTATACATTGTACACTATGTTATAAAGGACTGCATTAACCGACACACGCATTAACACACTCACACTGATGGTGTGTATCCTCCATCAGCTGTGATGTAAGCGATCGTGGCAATGAGCAGTTTAAATATTCATCCAGTTTTACTGTGACAACGGTCACAGAGGAATTCATTAACATTTAGCTGCACCTGTTACCTCGGCTGCTCCTCATCTCCCTAATTGATTAAGGCAGAACTGATTACTGGGGGGGGGGATTTAATAAATGTGCGTGTCGGCCAAATTCCTTCATACTCTGCCTCCCTCGCTCTCTGGCCGGGTGTCATCACGCACTTCATTAAACAATTAGCCACTTTGACAGGACACAGTTGGATGTGAGGTCTCCATGGAAACGATACTGTGGTTGCAGTCATGTTGGAACGATTCCCACAGCGACACAACGAGGAGGAAACCATCCATGAAGGAGGACAGCACCATGACACCTGAGGGAAACACTCCTCGGTAACAGGAGCAACAACAACAACACACAATGCTCATTGAGTTTATTGTCTGTCATGACTATTAATAAAGTCACTGTGCTATAATTACACTGCTGCTGCTTCTACTTGTCTGATACTGTTACTGCTGCAACTACAAACTGTTCCTGCAGCTGCAGAGATACTGAGTCAATACTGTCTCCTACATTATTATGTTCACATCCAACAAACTGCAACAAATGTTAATTACAGA